GCTACAGTGTAGTCATCATGTAGTTGACCTCCACCTGGTGGGATTTCAGTATCTATGAGACAACTCATGGCATATGACTCAGAATATTATCTATAGCTCTTGAGAAGGACCTAAAGGTCCTTGTCTGTGCTTACAGACTAAACTATCATTATTTGGTCTCCTGTGACTGTTTTCCTCTGTTTCTGCATGTTCTCACTTCTCAGATTAAACTTATTCTTTGGCTAAAGTTTTTCTACAGACAGGAGACAGACAGAGGACATGGGGCAGGGGGTGGAATGTGGGGGCAAGGACCATAGGGTCCTATTCCATTTCAGTAGGTATTCTGGGATCTTATGGAGTAAAATGAGTTTACAATGTACTTAAAAAATATTTACTCTGAGTCAAGATTGCAAGAAAATTGCAAAAGCCACTGTATTCTTGACTAATTGCCTTAATTTTCTGTGCCATCAAGAGTTCCCTGAACCACAGAGGAATTTTCTCGGCAGTTCTGTGTTCTTACGGGGACAGGATCGTGAAACTTTCGATCAAAGTTATGCTTGTGGAATTGTTTGTATGCAGCTGGTTGCTTTCCTTATTCCTTCATAGAGCAGACAAATTATTTTCATTTTGTTTTCGGTTTCATGACTTTTGTTTTTTATTATAAAAACAATATATGAGATCTTCACTAAAAATGGAAACAATGCAGAAGCATATGAAAACAAAATAAAATTCCTTTAATCCTACTGCTCAGAAGTAACCATTATCAAAAATATTTTAAAACTAGTAATATTTTAAGCTGGCTTAAAACTCAACGTTCAGAAAACTAAGATCATGGCATCTGGTTCCATCACTTCATGAAGGGAAAAAAGTGGAGGCAATGACAGATTTTATTTTCTTGGGCTCCTAAATCACTGTGCACAGTGACTGCAGTCATGAAATTAAAAGACTCTTGCTCTTAGGAAAGAAAACAATGACAAACCTAGACGGTGTATTAAAAAGCAGATACATTACTTGCTGACAAAGGTCTGTCTAGTCAGTTCCTCTGGTAGTCATGTACGGATGTGAGAGTTGGACCATAACGAAGGCTCAGCACCAAAGAGGGTGATGCATTCGAACTGTGGTGCTGGAGAAGACTCCTGAGAGTCCTTTGGACTACAAGGACATCAAACCAGTCAATCCTAAAGAAATCAACCCTGAATATTCTTTGAAAGGACTGTTGCTGAAGCTCCAGTACTTTGGACACATGATGCAAAGAGCTGACTCATTGGAAAAGACCCTGATGCTAGGAAAGACTGAAGGCAAAAGAAGAAGGGGACAGCAGAGGATGAGTAGGTTGGATGGCATCACCAACTCATTGGACATGAATTTGAGCAAACTCCCGGAAACAGTGGAGGACAGGGAAGTCTGGTGTGCTGCAGTCCATGGGGTCGAAGAGTTGAAGAGTTTAGTTTAGCAACTAAACAACAACAAAACTAGGAAACAATCTTTCAGAAATTTTTATATATTTACAGCTGTGTGTGTGTTAGTTGCTCAGTCGTGTCTGACTTTTTGCAACCCCATGGACTATAGCCCCCCAGGCTCCTCTGTCCATGGGAGTCTCCAGGCAAGAATACTGGAGTGGATTGCCATACCCTTCAGAGGATTTTCCCAACCCAGGGATTGAACCCTGGTCTCTTGCATTGCAGGCAGATTCTTTACCATTTGAGCTATGAGGAAGTCCCATTTACAGCTGTAATATAGATAATATCTTTGTGTATTAAAAATGGGATAATACCATGCATACTGTTCAACAAATAGCTTTTTAAATTTATTTCTCGTGAACATCTTTCCATGCCAGTATAATATAAAGCAACCTCATTGTTTTTATTGGTGGCATAGTGCTACATCATATAGACATACCATAGTTTATTTAACCATTCCCCATGTGCATTTTGGTTATTTTCATGTCTGTCATTGTGAATGATATATGAAGTGTCTTTGAACATATATCTTTTCACACTTGTATTCCGAAGAGAGATCTGTAGAAGCAGAATTGCTGAGTCAAGTCTATCAGTGTTTAAATTTTTGATAGAAGCTGCCAAAGAGCATTCCATGAAGGCTGGATGGAAAGTATTGAAACTCTGAATAAATATTTATGTTTTGTTTCCCTTCAAAGTGTTGTGTTTAGCTCACATTTTGGCCTTTAACACTTTCCTTCTGAGCTCCCAGGAGTCTGGGTGACTTTCTGTGTTACTTGAAACCTAAGATCTGAGCAGAGGGAGGGAGGGTGAGATGGGCCACAAATTGGATCCTCCGCAGGGTGGGTGTGGCTTCGGTGGAGTGGCACGGGGGCTGGGCTTTCAGGTCCCCCGAGGGTCCAGACTCCCGTAGCCCCTAAACGCCTGGGCATGAGCTGTCTTGAAAAGAGCCCAGTGGGAAATGGAGGGGAAGTGGGCATTGACTGAATGGCCATGCTGTCCAGGGCAGGGTGCATCGTCTGGCTGAAGTTTAATATTCTAGTGGGGAAGGTAGACAGTAAGCAGACAGATTCGTGGATCTGTTTTGGATGGTGGTAAGTGATGCAAAGAAAAATGAAGCAGGTAAGGGGAGAGTGTCAGGTGGCAGGACGGCTGTTTTACCTGTTGTGCCAGGCGCTGCCTCCCTGGAGACTGTTAGCTGTGCCGGGATCTGAATGAGCAAGTGAGTGAACCAAGTTCAAGGTTCAGGGAGGCACATTCCATGCAGTAGGAATGTGCACTCAAGAGAATGTGCCTGCAATGGGAGGAAGTAGAGCAAGTTTGAGCACCAGCAAGGTGTAGGAGGAAGAGGAGGAGGCAAGTGGACACAGAGGGAGGGGGTGAAGCAGGCCCGATGGGGTCAGGAGAAGCAGGAGCCCAATCAGATCGGAAAAGTAGAGACAGCTTGGTCACAAATACCTGCCTCCCTCTGCAAAGCCTGAAAATGACCCCTCCCCAAACATGTGCATGGGCGCGCACACGCACACACACACACACACACACGTGCATACACTTACATACACGCATGCATATAAATAATCTCAAATAGTGCTTTTAAAGCTGTAAGGGACAGTTGACATATTTGGACATATTGAAAATTTCAAAATACAGTACAACAAAAGGTACAACAAATAAGTTGTAAGAAATGAAACCTGGAAAATGTAATTTGTAGAGCAGGCAAAGGATTGATATCTAGGATAAATGAAGAATTCTTACACATCAATAAGAAAAATGGGTAAAGGGTTTAATGAGGCGATTTTCAAATAAATGCATATGACCAATTTCAAAAGATTCCAAGCGTTTGGCAAAAAATTAAAATGACAGAGACTTCAGTGTCAGTAGGGCATGGAACGTGTGCAAAGAACTGGTCTCCCACACTTGGTTGGGAATGTCATTAGTAGCTTTGGGTGGAGGATGACTGGGCTATGTCTGGCAATACTGCAAATGAGCAGACTCTTAACCCGGCAAAAGCGTATCTGTGCATTGATTCTGTAAAGAGGCCGATACATGCTTGCAAAGAAACAAGTAGAAAACTGTTTACATAGCACATTTATCTTTTTTAATAGCTGACGCTTGCAAACACTCTAAATGCTCATCAACCGGAGGATGGGTAAATTATAGTGCTTCTTTGCCCCTTAATATGATGTGACATTTTTAAAAGATCTATAAATGCACTGATATGAAAAGGATCTTGAAAAGTGTGGGTAGGTAAAAAGAAATCACAGTATGCGATTCATTTAATTAGTTAATAGCCATGTATGTGTTTGTGTAGGTATGTTTGTAAATAACTAGAAAAATGTCTGTAAGAATAAATGCAAAGTGCTAGCAGTGGTTGCCTCTGAAGGGGGAGTAAGGCTGTGGGGCTGGGAGTGAAGAGGGAAGTTTGTATTCTGCTTCTAAGTGACCGTCACCATCACTGGGGTTTATTTATTTATTTTTTTAATCACAGTGTTTGGGGTTTTTTTAATTTATGTATTTATTATTTTTGGCTGTGCTGGGTCTTTGCTGCTGTGTGTGGGCTGTCTCTAGTTGCGGCGAGCAGGGGTCACTCTTCACTGCAGTGCACGAGCTTCTCATTGCGATGGCTTCTGTTGTTTCTGAGCATGGGCTCTAGGTGTGCAGGCTTCAATCATTGTGGTATGTGGGCTTAGCACGTGGGATCGTCCCAGATCAGAGGTCGAACCCATGTCTCCTGCCTTGGCAGTCAGATTCTTTACCACTGAGCCACCAGGGAAGCCCAGGGTTTATTTTTGAAATGGCATAATAAATGGTCCTGAGGTGGAGACAGGTTCTAGGTACGCCCAGGTTGGTGTTTCTTCTCTTATCTTCCATCTATCATTCTTTGACTTTCTGATGAAGGGGATGTGAGGTCAGAGTCTGTGCCCAGCACACAAGGGAGAAATCGGGCCATGTCCCGAGTGCCTGTTCTTAGATTGAGCCCAAGTTCAAGACGTCCCGTGCTGCTGCGGCTGCCTCTGCCATCTGGTCCCACAAAGGCTCAGCTGCAGCAGAGACAGAACTCGGAGGCTCTCCAGGTCACCTCTGTGGACCAGCTGCGTGGAAATTAATTAGAGGCAGACCGAGTTCCCCGAGGCTCAGCTCTCATGATGCTGGAGTCATTAGCAGTTAGATTCAGCTACAGCTTCCTTCTCTATCTTCAGAAAATTTGTTTTGGCAAGGAGACAGACCGACTGAGTTGGTGGCTGAGGACAGTGCAATTTTAATTCCCACATAGTTTGTCAGGGTCCTTGGGGTGCGGTGACCCCCAGAGACAGGGGTGGTTTTCATCATGTCAGAGACAGCAGTGTACTTATTCCTCTGACTGCTCATAACAAAATTCCCTTTGCTATAAACAAGCATGTCATTCCTGAAGCACAGGAGGTGGTGACTATAGCAACAAATCACCCAAATATTATTTTGTTCTGTGTGCCTTTTGTTAAGCCTCCCTTTCCACAATTTGTGTTAACCATTTTGATTGTAATGAGCTTTCTTTTGTTTCTTTCTTTCTTTTTAAACTATTTATAGGCGCCAAGAAAGAAGTACAAAAAGAGCAAGATGCCAATAAACCTGCAGTTTCATCTCCTAAGAGGACAGCGGCTTCAAGCGCCAAGCTTCATTCGCCAGGTATTTAAAGAAATGTGAACTGTGTTATCTGAGGAGACTTGAACTTGGAATTCATTTTGTTCAAATGTCATTAATGGAGCAATGCCAGCCCACGTGGTGTGCATGACTGTTCCAGGGCTTGATGTTCGTATACAGCTGTGTTCTGACTCCAGCTGAAATGAACCAGCTGTTGGCATCATTTTGTCTTTAGAAAAATGTTATTAATGCTACATTTAGGGGGTAGGATCTTCTCTGTGTAGGAGTATCTGCTATTCTAACAGCACCTGAGATAATTTATAATTGAAAAACAGATTTTGGAGATCTTACCTCAAGAGATAATATTTTCCAAAAAGAGGAGAAAAAAATGAACCGTGGATATCAAACACTTGTTATTTTATTTATTTACATACTTATATGAACAAGCTATGTAATGTTGTGAAACTTGAAAATTACCTATTATGGAAATTCATATTGTAAGACATCAGCCTCTTTGTAGAACAGAATGCAGTATAACCTTTAACCTTTAAGCACAAAAATAGTAGCAATAATAGAAGCTAAAGTTTGAGTTCTTACTGTATACCAGGTACTGTCCTTAGGTCTTTAAATGTATTCATTTATGTAATGCCCGCAATAACTGGGAGATGGGTATGATATTGCCTCTTCCTTTGTATGTGAGGAAATTGAGCTTCATAGATTTTCATTAACTTGCCCAAAAGTCACAGGAAATAAATAGTAGAGCCTTTGTTTTAACCCAGGCACTTTGAATCCCCAAACTGCACTCTTACTTGCTGCACTATGAACCAGAAACCTTGCGGAATAATGACCTTATTAATAATGTTTCCAGTAAATTTTAAAAATGTATAGGAAGTAATCCAGAGCCACACATGAAGAGGGTCAGGAGACAGAGCCTGTTACCAAAGGCAGATTTGTGTGCCTGATGCACAATGAGGCAAAACAAACTCAAACGTTGGAGTTTGGAGCAGAAGAAGGTTAATTGCAGAGCCCGCAAGGAGACTGGTAGTTTGTGCTCTGAAAACCCAGAACTGCTCCAAGGATTTCAGCAAAGCACTTTTAAAGGCAGGTTGAGGGAGGGGCGTGGTTAGTTGTTGCAAACTTCATGGTGTGGGAATCTTTTGCTCTTGCAGCTGTCCATGTGGGTCCAATCAGGATGTTCCTATAAACTTGCAACAAGACATATGCAGGGGAAGGTTGAAATGAGGGGTTAAAAATTTTAAATCCATGTCAATGAAGGCCAAGAGAGGGGAGAAAGGAAAAAGAAAACAGAGAGAGGAACGGAGGGGAAGGAAGGCAGGGGTTGAGATCTACTGAAGCAGTAGTCCATTCCTTTTTATCCGTGAATAGAACTCCACTGTGTAAGTACCACAATTTATCCATTTACCTATTGAGACACTTTGGAGATTCCCCCCAGGGATTTGGCTATTATAAATGAAGCTACCACGCACATTTGTACAAGCCTTGGTACAGACCTCTGCGTTCCTTTTTCTTGGCAAATAGCTAAGAGTGGAATGCCTGAGTCATATGGTAGCTATGTGTTTAGCTTTTAAATCTGTTTAAAAGTTTTCCAATCTGTTTTCCAAGGTAGTTGTACCATTTTATATTCCTGTCAGTGATGTCCAAGAGATCCAGTTCCTCCATGTCCTTGCCAACCCTTGGTATGGTCAGTCTTTTCAATAATAAACATTATAATAGGTACATAGCAGTATCTCATGGCTTTAATTTGCATTTACCTGGCAACTAATGACATTAAAATGTTGAACATCTTTTTTATGTTTATTTGACATCTGTGTATATTCTTCCATAAAATAATCCAATCTTTTGCCATTTCAATTGGAAGTGTTTTTTTTTAATTCAATTTTGAGAGTTTCTATATATTCTGGTCACAATTTTTTCAGGTATGTGATTTACAATTTTCTTTTCTCCACAATTTATGTGTTGTTTTGCACTCCCCTAACAATGTCTTTTGAAGATTAGAAGTTCTTAGTGTTCATGAAGTCCAATTCATGATTTTTTCTTTTATGAACCGTATTTTTAGTATTATCTTTAAAAATCTTTACGTAACCCAAGTTCATAAAGACTTACCCCTACATTTTATTCTAAAATACTTGTAGGTTTTATGTTTACATCTGTGATCCATTTAATTTGTTTTGTATGTAATGTGAAGTATGACTTGATTCTCAGAAGATTTCTACTGTGATCATTATTATCTCTTCTGCTTGCATTGAGTTTAATTAGCTAATGTCATTAATTTGAAGTCTTTCTGCTTTTCTAATGTGCATTTAATACAGTAAATGTCCCTTCATATACTACGTTAGCTGTAATCCTCATATGTTGATATAAGGGGTTTTCATCTTCATTGAGTTCAAAATATTTTCAGGTTTCCTTTTCTGATTTCTTCTTTCCCCATGATTATTTAGCAGCATTCTTTTTAGTTTGCAGATATTTAGGACTTTCCAGAGGTCTCTCTGATTGTATTTCTAATGTAATTCCATTGTGGCTGGAGAACATACTTTGGATGATTTGTTCAGTTCAGTGCAGTTCAGTCATTCAGTCGTGTCCAACTCTTTCTGACTCCATGGACTGCAGCACACCAGGGTTCCCTGTCCATCACCAACTCCTGGAGTTTGCTCAAACTCATGTCCATCGAGTCAGTGATGCCATCCAACCATCTCATCCTCTGTCGTCCCCTTCTCCTCCGGCCTTCAATCTTTCCCAACATCAGGGTCTTTTCCAATGAGTTAGTTCTTCGCATTGGGTGGCCAAAGGTGGATGATTTGAGTCCTGTCAAATTTGTTGAGACTTGTCTGATACTCCACACAACAAGGGTTGTCTTGGTAAATCTTGCTTTGTCAGTATGTGGGGAAAACGAGGTCATCTCTCTGGTGTCTCTTCTCATGAGGCCACTAATCGCGTTCATGGAGGCCTCACCCTCATGAGCACCCTAGAGCACCTCCTCAAAATACCATCTCATTGGAGATAGGGATTAGCACATGAATTCCGGGAGAACACAGACAGCTCAAAGCATCTGGACATGTGTGAGGAGGAGCAGAAACATTGGAGTCCAGGCTACCACAGGAGAATGTCAAGCCAGCTCTGGTGAAGAGAAACCTATGTAACGAGAGTGGGCAGGTCTGGGAGCACAGCATTCCTGTCCCCAGCCTCGTCTCCTTGCCTCCTCCATCCCTGTCTAAGGGCAACTCTCCTTTCTTCAGATTACTGAACATCAAATAAGCCGAGCTGCACTGGTCAGTGGTGCCTGCATCAAGCCTTGAACCCTCAGCTGTCACCTGACTGAGGAGTGGCAGGTGAAGTCCAGGTGTGTTTCCCTCCCCTGCTGATCTGTGACTTCCCTGAGGATGATCTTGACCCATTTCTCTCCCCACCTTTGCAGCCAGGCTTGGGGAAGAGGCATCTTGTGATTCTCGTCTCTGTCCCTTGCTTACGCATGACTTCTCCCATCCCTGCCAGCTAGCAACCCCCTCCCTATTCCACCGCCTCCCCTCCCCCCAATCCTGCAAAGGCCTCTCATGACCTCCTGGTTATTAAGTCTAAGTGACGCGTCCTGGTCCTTATCTCTGTGGCCTTTGGCATTACTGATCACTCCTTCCCTGAAAGTTTCTTTCCCTTAACTCTGTGACACCTATTCCTGCTGGTTTTCTTTCAGCTTCTGGGAATGCTTGCATGGAGTTGTCTTCACTAGAAACTCTTCTGCAAGTTCTAAATGTTGCCAAGCAGTTTGGCCCAGGAGAATAGATCAAACTGAGTTCAAATCCTGGCTCAGTGGCTCATGTGATGTATGAACTGGGGCAAATAACAGAATTTCTTCAAGCCTCAGCTGCTTCTTTACTAATTCACATATCGTGAATTTTACTCTTTTCAGGTTTTAGTATATTCACAAAATTGTGTAGCCATCACCACTACTTCCAGAGCATTTTCTTTTACCCTCAAAAGAAACCCACACCCATGAGCAGTCACTCCCTATCCATGCTCCCCAGCCCCTGACAACCTCTAGTCTACTTTCTGTTTCATGGATTTGTTTATTCTGGACATTTTGTGTAAATGGAATCATATTCTGTGTGGCTTTTCCTATCAGTTGTTTTCACTTAGCACGTTTTTGAGGTTCATCCATGTCAAAGTGAGGATCAGTATTTCCTTCCTGGATCAGTGTTTCGTTCCTGGTTTGGGCTGAATAATATTACACCATGTGAATGTGTCATAGTTTACCCACTCATTGGTTGAGGGGCATTTGTTTCCAGCTTTTGGCTACTATGAGGAATGCCGCTATGAAAATCCATGCCATTAATACTTTCATATGCAGTGTCTAATCTACTCTTAATCCCATCCAGTGTATTTTTATCTCAGACATTTGAATTATTAATCTCTAGAATTTTTCTTTAAGTCTCTTTTTGTCTTTGTTTCTATTTGATGTACTCAGTCTTTCCTCCAGCCTCTTGATATATGGAATATAGTTATAATAACTTAATTGCTGGTGCTTTTCTTAGCTGACTTCAATTGATTGCATCCCCTCTTCATCATGGCTTGTACATCCCTGTTTATTTACATGCCTGAGAATTTTTTTAGATGACTGACATTGTGAATTTTTCCTTGTTGGATTTTTTTAAAAATTCTATAAATATTCTTAAGCTTTGTTCTTGGGTAAAACTATGTGACTTGGAAAGAGCTTGATCATCTTGGATCTTTCTCATCAGCTTTGTTAAATGGATCCTGACCAGCAATTAGTCTAGGACTGGTTTCCCCAGAGCACCATGATATGACCCTTCCAGGTGTTCTGATGCCCTGGGAATTGCGGTGGGTGCAGGAATTGATCCTGGCCTTCTGTGAGTTCCCGGTAGTGTTCCCTCTAGTCCTGGGTAGAATCCTCTCCCTGGCTGTGGACACTGTCCTCACCTGCTGCACTGATGTAAGTTGTCCAGAAACTCGAGGGGCCCTTCTGTGTCTCTGTGAAGCTGTCCTCTCAGCTACTCTGCTCTGTAACTGCTGACCCTTGAAC